CACCCCTTTCCATTCACCCTGTACAAGCGGGCTATCGCAGGCAGCCATGAGATGCCAAACCCCACAGTGAGCCGTTACACCACTGTTTAAGCTTAATGTTATTGCTTGGGTACAACTCTTTAAATTTCGGCTTTGGACCTTCATCAAGCTTACTGGCTTTACGCTTGGCGAATGTCACGCTTAGCTTTGACTTTAAGCTTACTGCTTGGCTTTGGTTTGACGCATGTCACACGGGAAACGCGGCTTCCCGCGACGGTGAATCCAACTTGTGCTTGGTTGTTTCCAAAAAAATTAAACCGTTCTCGTTGTCTTTCATATTTATCGCTTGGACGACGGTAGCAGTGCCGATGCGCCCGTCGTTCGATAGAGCGTTACTCAACGCATCGTTTGAGCCGGGTCTCATGTCTGTCTGGCATCTAAGTACCGAGATAGCGCCCGAATACACAAATGAGCGCGCCAACAAGGCTGGAAATTCGCCGAAAACTATGGAGAAATGCTGTCGAAGTGAAAACAAAAATGATGACATTTGACCCTTCATCGTCTCCGTCCGTCCCCGCACGGCATTTTTTACCTCGTGCGGCTCGCTGTGCTAAACGGCGCGATCCAGACGTGTGCAGGCTTAGCTTGGAAGGCGGCGCAGCCAGACTTGTGTGCTCTTGGTTCGCTGGACGACGCGCGCAGACTTGGTCCAAACTTTTTTTTCCGCTGCGCGGCCTTGATCTACGAGACGACGCAGTCGGTGTACTCCTTCCCTTCGGTCCCGTGGTCTCAGCACCACACGAGGTGTACGGCGGCACAGAGTACTCGTAGCGTTGAGAGGTTTCGTTGACACCTATCTACTGCAACAGGTGCGTGATCATCGAGTGGATTTCAAAACCAGCGCACGCGGTAGCAAGCAGTCCGGCCTGCGAATTTATCCAATCTACATCAGTTCCTCACCAATATTGCACTGATGGCCTTCATCTAGGCACTTTGCTCCCAATCACTTCTGCAAAGGAGGTTGCAGCACATTCTTGACAGCTCCCCTGTGCACCATGAGTGCACCGAGCAATGCGCAAGGCAAATCGTCTCAATTGGCGGTCAAGGCATCAGCAGTCACCACCAAACATGGTGACGAGTCTCGGGACCAGAAGGGCGTCTTGTTTTCTACTCTTTCTCAG